ACTGCCAATTTGTGAATAATACAGGTGCACGATGAGGTACACCTGGTATCCAAGGACTGCTAATTTATGGATAACACAGGTACACGATAGGGTACACCTGGTATCCAAGTCCTACTAATTTGTGGATGACACAGGTGCACGATGGGGTACACCTGGTATCCAAGGACTGCCAATTTATGGATAACACAGGTGTACAAAAGTGTACACCTGGAATCCAATACTGCTATATAGGGAGAGTTAAAGACCTACTGTGTATGTAAATAATGTTAAGTGTAGATAAGGAGACACCAATTCAAATTCTGCCAGAAGGAGTAGTGTTATCAATTGAATAACTGCTTGGATAAGAGGATTAGTGCAGGCTCCAAACAAACAAACCAGGACTGGCAGATAGAATATGAAGAGAACTGTTAGTTCTCAAAATGGCGGTTTCAAAATGGTGGCCATTGTGAAAATGAAACTCATTGAGGCTATTAAACAATAGAGAATGGTGCCCAGCATCCACAAAATGGTGGACTCAATTCTGAAAGAGCTAATTGGCCACTACAATGTGGTCTGAATGTCCCTAAAGAATCCAGAGGACCTTCCCAACAGAGAAATCAATCAATAGCTTAGGCGGCGCGATCGCAGCCTCCGAAAAAACAAACGGAGCTTGCCTGCGTCTTCCACCCTTTTTAGCTGCCTAAAGGAGCTGCCAGCCAGCTGATTTAATGAAAAAAAAAACCCCGGTTCGGAGTGACGTGTGCTCAGCCGGTGACGAGGACTGCAATTAGAAAAGAACGAGCCTTCAGACTGCTAGAATTGCAAAGGCAGCTCTGTAAATCATGAAAACAGCATTTTAAAATGTTGGGAAGCCTTCCTGCTTCGCTCTAATTCAATTGCGTCCTTGGACCTACGCACCCAAAAATGAAACGAAAATAATTCTCAGGGAAGCCTCCCTGATTGATTAGTACTTCTACCCCCCCCCCCTCCTGAATCACAGCCTTGGAGCTGTGGTTGCAAACCCCAACCAGGGAAGGAAAGCAGAGCAAAATAGAGAAAAAACAACTATTGATGTTTGTGAAGAATTAATAAAAGGTATTGAACTTAATAGAGAACCAATGAAGAAGGTTAGGGAGGAATGGAAAAAAACGAAACCAAAAGCCAACCAAACGCAGAAACAGAAGCTGAACTAAGCCTCACTTTAAAGCTAAGAGGGGAAGGGGGGGGGTTGGAAATAAACAGCAATCAGATCCCAGTGCTGAGCCCAGCACTGAGCAGAAAACTGTTAAAAGTCAAAGAAAGATGGAAAATCCACCAATGGAGACTATACCTGCCTAAGAGCCAAACTTGCACGTCTGTCCATGGGCAAGATCAAGTCAAGACTGGGATCTTCTAGCCCAGGAGAGGCGTGGCAACTTTGGCTGACTTGATCTGATTGGGCAGGAACACAGTCTAAACCCATTGGTGGATTCTCCATCTCCAGTGCTGGAGAAAGGGATGAAATTTGTTAGCCTTGCCCTTCTTACCTTGTATGACTATCCAGAATTTGCCTCAGCTGAAACCCAGAAAAACCAAAGGTTCTAGATCAGGATTGTCCAACCTTGGCAGCTTTAAGACCTGTGGAGTTCAACTCCCAGAATATCCCAACCACCAGGTGTGTGGGCATGCATGTCTATGCATCTTTACAGCCCTATTGCTGGCTGGGGAATTCTGGGAGTTGAAGTCCACAAATCTTAAAAACTGCTAAGGTTGGGTACCTCTGTTCTAGATTTCAGTTTGGCCAGATTGTGGCCCATCTGGAATTGGTCCCTTGAGCCATAACCTGTGCATTTTCTGCTTCATACACACTTCTAGTCAAAAGTGTTTGATAAGGAACTCTCAAAGGCTTTTGAAAAGTCTATCCACTATCAACAGGATCATCTCTGTTCATATGCTTGCTGACATTCTCAAAAATACATAGAGGGTTTCTCTATGTACTCAGTTGTTTTTTTCATTATTCATTGTTTCTACCAATTTGGCTAAAATAGAGGTTAAACTAACCACCCTATAATTTCCTGTTTCTCTCCTGGATACCTTTTAATTCATTGGCTAGCTTCCAGTTGTTTTAGCCCAGTTTGAGGACAAGTTACATATTTTTGCCAGGTGGTCAGCTTTTTCACACTTTTTTAAAAAAATGTCTTGGGTGGATGATTGATTCTCCTTATTACAACAGGCTTATTTCCTCAAGAACGCCTTAACTTGTCCAGCTTTCTGGACACTATTAGGTATCTAGGTTGATCATGGACTTGTCTGACCTTTCTTGCATTGCAGAATACTGTACATTCCAACTGAGGCTTCATTAAAATTGATTTAAATAACATTAGGAATTATTATGAGATTTGGCTAGTTTGTTCTTTTCAGATTCTATTTTATCAGATCCCTCTTTTTTTCAGATTTTCTTCTTTTATAGTCAAGTCTTCTTTATTGGCCACTAAGGAAAAGATTAGCTTGGGCAAGAGTAAATGGCAACTTCAGAAGATGTGTGTAAAGTAAGTGAAGAATATAAGAGGAGGGCACTCAAAAAGACAACTCACATTAGCACTGGGTATGTATGAAAGAGATTATGTTTCATGTCTTGTGTGCATGAGAAAGCAAGGAAATAAGTTGGCCAACATCAAAGAAAAAAAATTAAATATGCTGGTAACTTAAGTGGAGAAACATACAGGGTTGTATTGGTACTGTTAACATGGAGGACATTATTTGTCAATACCTTACAGAGAGATATCATCTTGAATAGTTTGCTGAAGAAAGAAATACAAGAACAGTAAGTACTATGCAAGATCAAATCTATGTTTGTTTACTTCCATTTCAAACTGTGATAATAGAGAACAGATGCTGGTCATAATTTTAACACATGGTTGCCTCACCAGTTCAGTTAATTGTAATTCACTAATTGTACAGGAAGCTAGTCTGTCCTGGCCAAGAGCCTGTCTTAAGCAATAAGTGTTAATTATGCTGCCTTGCACCAAAATTTGGAGCTTTTCTAAAACAACATAACTGATTACCTTAAAGCATGGGTATCAAACTCCCTGCATCAGGTAACATGTTACGATGTATTGCAACTTTTTTTGCATTGCCGGAGCTGGGGTGGGTGTGGCCTCCTCATGATGCAGTTTGACACCCCTGCCTTAAAACATGCCTGATTTGAGCTGATAGAGAATATTAGAGCAAAGTCAAACCAGCTCTGGTAGCCAAAGTCAAAATTCATATCCATGGGATAACTTTATTAAGGCAACCCAGGATTTTAAAATGGTGTGCAACTTCCCAGCAGGCCACAGAAAGCCCTCTGTGATGTTATACAGATACAGTAAAAAAAAACCTTAATTCAATTTTTGCTCAGTTTTGGCAGAATAAAATCATATCACCTCATGGAGGCCTGCTCAGCCTATTCCCTAAATCATAATAAGTATAATTAAAATGTTGGCAGTTCTCTCTCTCTTTCTCTGTACCCTTCCCAAGCTATCTGAGTCTGTAATTTGGTCCATTTCTGAAAGAATGTTAATGCTAGCAAGTAAATCTGCTCCTCAATCAGCAACCTGAGTAGTTATAGTCACTCCTTGCTGCACTCATATATCAGTTGGCATTCAGGTGCAATTCAAGGTATAAGTTGTTGTTCCTTTTAAAATCCTTCCTGATATCTACAAGGCTGTTCCTTTCAATAACATCTGCCTGCCTTATAAGATCAGGTAGGTAGATTCTCTCTGGATTTTCTTCCCCAAAGATGGCCAATATAGAGGCTGCAGCCTCCTTACACAGCATTTTCCCAGACATTCAAATGGCTCCTTCCCTTGGGCATTTAGGAAGTCTGGACAGAGGGGGGAGTCCTTGATGCTCTCTGAGCTTGCTTGTTTTCTTGCAGACATTTCATTACCCAAACTAGTAACATCATCAGTGCTTTAGGAAGTCTGTGAAGACCCGGCTATTGAAACAGATCCAGAATGGAAGTGGAGTAAGGTGGGAAGGGGTTTAGTTGAATTACTACTGTAGGGTTCTTTCCCCAAGTTATTGAAGTTGTTGATTGAGTTTTACACAATTATCTTATTCCTGAGTCTGAGATAGGAGATTTTGTCAGCTACAGAATATGCTTAATTATCATTTCTTTTTTCTATGGAGATTCTAAGTCATCCAGGTCATGGTTGTCCCAAAAGTCTTTTTCCTTCTATCCTCCATCATTCAGTCAGAACTGAAGAAGCTTCTTGGATGAGAAGTGAAACATCTTCAAGGAAAACAAAGTCCAGTTGTCTTTTGAAAAAGCACCTTTGTCATGTTGTTTATTTATATGGATAGAGATTTATACTGCTCAGTTATGACTGGTTTACAGGCCTATGAACTTGATAAAGCAATAGCAATAGCACTTAGATTTATATACTGCTTCATATTACTTTACAGTAGATATCCTGAGTTGAAAAAGCTGCTTCTCAGGATGTTATCTTACAGTTTTGTCTCAATTCATATTTCTCTGTTATAACAAGCAATTGTCTATGTTCTAACATGACATGGGAGATTTCCTCCATTCTTCTTACTACTGGTGAATACAATAAAAGAAATGCACATATAGTTCCATTATATCCAAACTCTATGAAATTCTCTTTGTAAATACATTCTAAGTGGCAATTCTGAGCAATCGTGTTTGAATTCAAAAAGTGGAGTAAAGTGAAGCTGCTTAGTGCTTTGAATGAAACCTGTTGGAGTTATTGGATTATCTGGCCTGCTAGGCTGAGTCATCAGCTGCAGTAGGCCAAGGTATAAGGAAGTCGGAAGTAAAAAAGGTTGGGAGAATACCAAGAAGTGCCGTGCGGTGCAAAGGAAGGTGTTTGGTGTGTTGTTGGTGCCGGGTGTAACAGCTGTATAGGGGTGTGAGCAAAACAAAGCTGTAGCACGTGCAATATGCTAATATGCTGTGTTATAACAAATGTGATTGGTGTAAGGTGGTCACCAGGTGCATATAAACCCGCCTTCTGGTAACACAATAAAAGGGATGCTTCGGCTTTGTTCGGGGCTCCCATCCCGAGGAAACCACGTGTTCGTGTCTGTTCTTCTACACTCATGGGAGACCCGCTGGGCGCGTGAAAACCCACAACTGGTGACCCCGACGTGATTCATGTTTCTGAGCGCGTCTCTTGGTACCCTCTTACTCACTCAGCGGAAGAGCCTACTGCAACTCAGGGCCGGTCGTCAGGACTAGACGAAGTACCCTCCCAAAACATTACCGTGAGTATGGGGACAGGATTCTCTAAGCCTCAGGTTGTGCACCTCTCAGAACTTAGGGAATTGACCAAGTCATCAATAATTGTTTTGAAAAACAATGGGAAAAATTTGCCCCTTCCCACTAAAGGGGATTTGATCCTCCTCTTAAAATATGTATATCAAAATTGTCTTGTATATCCCGAAGGAGGATCCCTAAAAGTGTCGGTGTGGGTTAAATTGGGAAAGTATTTTCATGAACCTCCTTGAGCCCCTCCAAAAATTTTGTCTACATGGCGAATTGTAATTGAATGTCTCCAAATCCATGAAGATGCCATGAAAACAGAGAAGGGGAGGGTAGACCCCCCGCCTGCCTATAACTCTGAAAAGCCCGTAGACCCCCCGCCTGCCTATGACTCTGAAAAGCCCGATGATTTAAAAAAGGGACAGAGTGCAAAAGAAAAATCCTCCTTGGCAGTTTATCAAGCCGATGTGCCTTTTGAGCCGTCCGCGCCAATGAAGGAGGGAGAAAAAGAACAAAGGAGCATTAACGTGCTGCCTTCCCCTGCCAGCGCCATCTCCAGGGCACTGGCCAAAGCTCATGAAAAAGGGGAACTGCAACCTGAAGAATATCAATTTTGCGTGCCTGTTTTTATTGATCCAACCACAGGCAATCGCAGATATGAAACAATCCCCATGAAAACTATTAGAGAAATAAAACAAGCAGCATCAAGCTATGGGATTTCTAGCCATTATACCTTGGGTCTGATAGGTCACATGGCCTCTACCTTTTATTTGTTGCCTGAAGATTGGAAAGGGCTATTCCATATGATTTTAACGTCTTCACAATATGTGGTTTGGGAATCGGAATGGAAAAAAGAATGTCAAAAGATCATTTTGGCTTGGCAGGGCCACAATCAGCCAAGAGTAGACCAGCTAACAGGGAATGGAAATTTTAGTTACCTGGGCGCTCAACAAGCCATGAATCCTTTGTTTTATTCTCATGCAGCCCTCGCCGCAAAAGCTGCCCTGACTCGGGTCGATGATCCGCAGAGGGGAACAAAAGGCTCTTTTGTAAAGATTTTTCAAGGGTCTAATCAACCCTATGGGGAATTTGTGGATCAGTTACAAAAGGCCATATCTAGGGAAATCACAAATGGAATAGCCCAAGAGGAATTGTTGAAAAAACTTGCCTTTGAAAATGCCAATGAGGACTGTAGACGGGTCCTGCAGCCCTTAATGAGAAACCTGATGCAGGATTGGCAGACTATATTCAAGCCTGTAGAATTGTGGGGACCAATGCATTTAACATGGAAACTTTGGCTATGGCCTTACAAAGAGCAGGAAGTAATAATGGGCAACCTGCGGGTAAAGCTGGTAACTGTTTTAATTGCGGGAAGCCTGGTCATTTTAAAAATCAGTGCTGGGCCCGGGGGGGGGCGCTAATAAAAGCAGGGGAGTGGGAGCCAGACCAAAAACCGTTTGCCCGCACTGTAAAAAGGGGTTTCACTGGGCTCCAACCCTATGCCCGCTGATTCCCAGAAACCGGGAAACTAGAGCTGGGGCATTCAGCTAGCCCCGCCTCAAAGGCTGAATCTTATCATTTTGTACTGGTGGCCTCTGAGACAATAACCACAGGCTTATCCGGGCTGTCGTATTTTTTGCCAATCCGGCCATCTGTCCCTTTTCCCCCTGATTGTGACACCCCTCGGTTAGTGTTTCCTCACCGTGACTTTATTATGCAGGGAGTAACGGCTATGCCATTTTTGAAAGATCCAGGTGACTTTACATCAGTCGCTTTGGCATTTACCCCTAACACTCCCATGGCTGTGATCGAGGGAACGGTAGTGGCAACTGCCGTCCCTGTGCCCCAACAACCGCAAGTTTTGGCAATTGAGCAAGAAATTCAAAAGTTCCGCCCCTCTATGGCCTTTCAAGTCAACCGACGCTCCTTTTTTGGTATTCTAGATACCGGAGCTGACGTATCGGTCATAAAAGAGGAGGAGTGGCCCTCTGAGTGGCAGACCAACAGCGCACTGTTGGTTCGGGGAGTGGGAGGAGTCCAGCACGCACGCGTGAGCAAACACTGGCTTTCCGTGACCTCGGAAGAAACATCAGTCACTGCTCACATTAAACCTGTCATTCTTCCGCTTCATATTAATCTGTGGGGTCGGGACTTGATGAGTCAGTTCAATGCAAAATTAATTTTGGATTAAGATGTCTCAGTTAATAAAGTTAAACCTCTTGACTGACACCCCAGTTTGGGTCGATCAGTGGCCTTTAACCAAAGAAAAATTAACCGCTCTGGTGCAATTGGTAGATCAACAATTAGAGTTAAAATGCATTGAACCCTCATTGAGTCCTTATAATACTCCGGTGTTTGTCATAAAGAAAAAATCTGGAAAATGGAGAATTTTGAACGATCTAAGAGTTGTCAATAAGATCATTCGCCCCATGGGGGCGCTCCAATGCGGTTTACCTAATCCTAATTTGATACCAAAAGACTATGACCTGATGGTTATAGATCTAAAAGATGCATTTTTCTCTATTCCACTACACCCAGAGGACAAACACTTATTTGCCTTTACTGTGCCTGAAATGAATAACTCCAAGCCCACGGCCAGATATCAATGGACTGTCTTGCCTCAAGGGATGCTAAACAGTCCTACAATGTGTCAATATGTTGTTAATCAGGTTTTAAGACCATATCGGGAAAAGTTTCCTCATTTTAAAATTTACCATTATATGGATGATATTTTAGTGGCAGCTCCAGGACCCTCAGGTACGGTCTCAGCAACCTTCCCTGTTCTAACCTCCATTTTTCAAACAAATGGGTTTTTTATTTCACCTGAAAAAATTCAGCTTAAACACCCCTTTCTGTACTTGGGCCACAAGCTTTTGGCCTCACACGCCGAGCCTCAGCTGTCTAAGTTGTGTCTTCCGCCATGCCCGACCTTAGTCCAACTTCAACAATATTTAGGATCAATTAATTGGGCCCATCCCTATATGGGACTAACCACCTCTCAATTGGCTCCATTGTTCTCTGCTCTTACGCAGGGAAAAAATCCAGGAGATAAGATCGTGTTAACTCAACAACAACTTAAAACTTGTGACATCATTCAGCATGCATTGTCAAAAGTATGGGTCGATCGTGTTCAGCCCGATATGCCTTTTTCTATGTTAATTTTTAACACCGTTGACCTTCCTATGGCAGCTTTGGCCCAGATCGTGTCTAATATAAAAATGATGATTGTAGAATGGATCCACTTATCTCACACCCCGAAGAACACCATTTCACAGAAACATACGCTCTTTGCTCAGCTTATAACAAAATCTCGCTTTAGGGCAAAGGCTTTAGGGGGTGTTGAACCGTCCTTTTTATATATCCCTTGTTCGCTAACGGCTTGGGAAAGTTTGTTGGCCAACTATGAATCTTTGCAGCAAGCACTTGCTGATTGGCCAGGAGAAGTGTCTTGTCATCCACCATCAGATCCTCGCATTTTTTTATTAAAAACAGTCCCATTTAAATGGCAATCTCCTTGTGCTTCTTTCCCTTTAAAAGAAGCAATAACTCATGGAGCCTGTGCTTGCAAAGAGGAGGGGAAGTGGCGTACAAAAATCACCCCCCCACAGACGTCGGCTCAGCGCTCTGAGCTAGTGGCAGCCACGATGGCATTTTTTCATTTTAAAGATCAACCCTTTAATCTGATCCTGGACAGTTTATATGTTTCCCAAATTGTCAAAACCATTTTTGACTCTTATTTGGCAACGAATGTCTCTATGGATCTGTTAACATTATTTTTGGACTTGCAACATCTCGTAAACGATCGGAAGCACCCATTTTTTGTTGCCCATATTCGTAGCCATCAGCCTTTTCCAGGCCCACTCCAAGAAGGCAATGATGTTGCCGATGCTGCCGCCTCACAAACACCTCTTAATATGCCACTCACCTTTTTAACCCCCTGGGAAAGTCACTCCTATTTCCATCAGAATAAGAAAGCATTAATCAAACAATTTAATCTTTCAGCTGCTGAAGCTGCTGCCATCGTTCAGCAATGTCCAACCTGTAGCAAGCAAGCACACTCAATACCACTTGGAGTAAATCCTCGTGGCTTGGAGAGCTGTCAAATTTGGCAAATGGATGTTACTCAATATCCTCCCTTTGCCCCGTGGAAACATCTTCATGTTTCTATTGATACATATTCTGGCTTCATTATGGCTTCCCCCCAGAGGGGTGAGGCCACTAAACATGTTATCAATCACTGTATTTGGTCATTTGCATTGTTGGGACGCCCCAAAGAACTTAAGACAGACAACGGACCTGCTTATATTAGCTCTGCTTTTGCAGAATTCTGTACAAAATGGTCCATTGTTCATAAGTTTGGCATTCCGTATAATAGCCAAGGTCAAGCCTTGGTTGAGCGAGCAAATCAAACATTAAAAACAGCTCTCAATCGATATTTAAATGAAAAGGGGAAAATTGCCCCTGGCCTCCCAGCAGTGCAAAACATCCTTAACTTGTGCCTTTATACATTGAACTTTTTAAATCTGACAGGCGATCCATCATCAACAGCTGCCTCTCGTCATTTTTCAACAGTCCCTCCCCCTACGTCAAGACCTCCAGTTTACTATCGACGGCTTCCAGACCCCACGTGGAAAGGTCCTGCAGAGCTTATCACCTGGGGGAGAGGCTACGTTGCGGTAGATGATCATGGCAAAATCATTTGGACTCCAGCTCGCTGTGTTCGCCCTTATTTGGTTCAATCTTCACCATCCTAACCAGACGTTGGACGACCATGGACCCTGGGCCCACAACTCTTTTATGAAAGATGTGCAGAATATTTCTCGTCTTTGGAACAAGACTGAGTGTTGGATGTGCATGCATATCCCAACCTTGGAGGAGGGGGGACTTTTTATTCATGCGGTGCCTTTTAATACAACTGGTTGGAAACAATTTCCCTGGTCTAGAGGGACCCTTTCCAATGCTATGGTGAATTATACGGTATACACAATAGGAAGCAGAATCCAGGAAAAGGCAGCGTTTTGTTGGGAATATAAGAACACCTCTAAAAACTCTGTTTTAGTAGGCAGATACCCATATTGTGACATCACATTTCAACTTTCAAACAACATGACTAGACCACATCCCTTTAAGAAAATTCCTCTTTTTGAATCCCTTGATGATTTTTCTGAATATATGTGTACCTATCAAATAACCGGATGCTCGCTATCAACAGGATGTCACCCCGGCAACACGGACACGATGTCCACACTCTTCCTTTGCAGTCTTGTAAGAGCCATGGTTCGCCAAACTGTGCAAAGCTCCAGCATGACTACAAATATATTAAGTAACGTCTGGATGCTTTGTGGCCGGCGGGCATATCAACGTATACCTCCACAGTGGTCTGGCCGTTGTACGTTGGGCTTTCTTGCTCCCTCAGTTTTTGTGTCAGATCAGCCACCTTCAGGCCGTTTGCGCAATCGAAGAGATCTTGAAAATGGCCTGGGAGGACCCGGCAATACAGGAACGCAAGTTGCACGATCTATTATTCCATCTCTGGGGGTAGCCATGAATTACAGAGACATCTATGCATTAAATAACTGGACTAGGCACATGTTCAACGCTACCATTCAGACTACCAAATTGTTAAACAAGGAAGTGGCAGAAATACGAGAGATTGTTCTGCAAAATCGTTATGCTTTGGACATTATCCTTGCCTCGAAAGGAGTATGTGCCTTAATCCATTCTCATTGTTGTGTTTATATCTCTGATTATAAAGCCAATATCACAGGTACCATTGAGCATATGGAAGACATGGTTCGTCATAATCCGTTACAATCCGACGGATCTGGCGCAATAAACATTTGGGATGCCCTATGGTCTTGGCTACCCGATGGAACCTGGCTGCGATCATTGGTTTCTGGTATTATAACTATTGTGGTTATTTTAGTTTTGGTATGTTGTTGTATTCAATGTTTGCCCTCTTTGTTTATGATGTTTAAAAATTTTCCCTCAGGAACTGTCACCCATCAACAGGTCAATTTAGTAACTACACCTATCACTGCAGTTCAGCAACCCCTGCTAACCAAATCGGCCTTCACCTTGCCAAGCGACACTGAGGATGACTTCATATAAAGCGCTCCCTCCTTATTTTTAAATAAAACAGAAAAGGAGGAGATGTTGGAGTTATTGGATTATCTGGCCTGCTAGGCTGAGTCATCAGCTGCAGTAGGCCAAGGTATAAGGAAGTCGGAAGTAAAAAAGGTTGGGAGAATACCAAGAAGTGCCGTGCGGTGCAAAGGAAGGTGTTTGGTGTGTTGTTGGTGCCGGGTGTAACAGCTGTATAGGGGTGTGAGCAAAACAAAGCTGTAGCACGTGCAATATGCTAATATGCTGTGTTATAACAAATGTGATTGGTGTAAGGTGGTCACCAGGTGCATATAAACCCGCCTTCTGGTAACACAATAAAAGGGATGCTTCGGCTTTGTTCGGGGCTCCCATCCCGAGGAAACCACGTGTTCGTGTCTGTTCTTCTACACTCATGGGAGACCCGCTGGGCGCGTGAAAACCCACAGAAACCATCATAGATTCCTGGACTAAATTGGACAGTTAAAACAAAGAAACAAACAAATATCCCAGAAAAAGGTAATGACAATCCACTTTTATAACATTGTAAGAAAGCTGCATGGCTGTAAGCATGTAGTCATACTGGAGGAGATTTTTATAATTTATCCTATGTTCCAATAGTCCAAGAGAAATCCTGCTCTTGATTTCAGTAAACTTCCTATGAAGAATGGTTTTTTTAGATCTTAGATTTTAGAACACTTTTTCAATATCAGTACCAAAATGTCATAGTCATGACCTAGCAAGGAATAACATATTCTGGAGATATGGGCAATTAAAAAAGAATACTCTGCTGACATAACTGTAGGAATTTTATTATGTATTCCTGCATGAAAATATCCATAAAAACAAGACTTACATTGTAATTAAATTTCTCTGCTTATTATCTGATCCTGAAATCATAAAATTAAAAAGTACCTTGGACATCCTGCAGTCCAATCCTCTGATTCAATGAAGGATGAAGCTACTGCAAGTCTGACAGGTTAACAGTTCAGCTTCATCATTAAGACCCCTATGTGAAGGAGGCCCCTAATTTCCTCAGGCAAAATATTCCCCCGTTAGGAAGCTCTTCTTCCTGTTTAATCAAAATCATCCTTCTTTGAAGTTTCTATCCAATGTTTTTAATTCTGCCTTGAGCAATGAAGAAAAATTCAGCGTTAGCTTCTACACAACAGAATTTCAGAAATTTGAAGATGGCATTCATGCTTTCCCTTAATCTTTTTTTTTGTCAGGTTAAATTGGCATTTTAAATTTTATCAGCCAGGGGAAGATTTCAAGAATTTTCTCTGCATGCATTAAAGTTTGTCAATGTCCTGAAAAATTGAGCATATGATTTCTGTTCTGGATTAGTGAGGCCCTATGCAGAATTCTGTGCACCACAAGCAGCCTCACCAAACAGTACTGGAAAGAGGAAAATCTGTGTGTTTTCCCTGATTAGTTTTCCATTCAGCATGATGAAAGAAATCTACTTTGGAAATTCTTTATAGAAGATAATTTTGATAAAATTCTAATGAGTCTGGTCTTATTGAAATATGAGCTACCCAAGACATGTTCATGAATATCTTGTTTCATGTCTGCAGTCTCCCTGCCATCCCGCATTTTAACTAAATTTGCTGGGAAGACATTGTGATAGCTACCATTGAGCTTTTAGGAGCTATCATTGATAGGGAGGAGGCTACCTTTAAAGAACTGTTACAAAATTTCTTCTCCCTCTGGAAAAATTGAAGAAATCATCAACTCATTCTCTCTTTCTGAAGATATGGTAGAGTATTCTGAAAGTCATTTGTGTCTAGCCCTAGCTCCCCACATATGGGTGGCAAGAGATATATGGACCATTTTGTCCCTAAAGGTTCATGGCACCTACCTTTGGATCTGTGAGCTTTTCTGTTGGGCCTTTGAGGTTCAACTATTGCTACTATTGACTTTGAGCTGATGCAAGGATTGTACATTTTTATATTTTATTGAGCATTGCCTTTGTATCTAGATTATTTTGACATATTTGCTTATAAACCAAATGTTCCTAGTTCTGTGTTGAAGTATCTTTTTCCTAATGTTAAGAAAAAAATTAAAAGATCTTTGCTAGTCTCTTTATATTTTATAGTTATGACCTGTTCTTAAAAAAGATATAATTTTCATCTTAGATAAATAAATCTAAGAGATAAATTGGTGAACCAAAAGAAAATCTAAGAAAAGTATTTAACTGTGAGATTATCACCTTGTAAAAAAAAAGGTACTGGAGATGAATTCATTTATACAAACAGAATAAAGGGTACATATTTTAAAAAATCATAAAATAGCAGTCCCTCTTCTTGGGAGAAAAACACAACTGGTTAGTTATCTTTTTATGGCAGCAGTTGCAGTGAAATCACTGATATATCACAGCCACAAATGGACCAAGGTTTAACAAGATGAGGCCCTCATTTTTTAGTGGATCTGAGCCCTGAATCCGCATTTCTTATTAATTTTCTTTTCTGCACTAAAGACCGTTAATTCACACCACCAAGCCATGCCTTTGGATAACATTGCACCCTATTAAAAGCATCAAATACTGCCTGTCTTAAGTCCCTACTTGTGTAGCAAGAATCAGAGAAAAAGCAAACATTATTTCAGCTTAGATATTTCACCCTCCTTGACAAACAGCCTAACATAGATGGGCGTTGTCTTACCTGAACGCCTTTTCTCAGCACGGAGATGGAGATTCCACCAATGGGTTTTCTGTCTGCCTGCTCTTGAGACCAAGTTAGCCAAACTTGACACGCCCCTGTTGCTAGAGGACCCAGTCTTGACGAGGGTGAAAGCGGCTGATGCTATTACGAGGTGTTGGCTCTCAGACCCCTAATTCCGGCCTAACTGACCTTTAGGGTGGGTGTGGACTCTCCATCTCCGTGCTGAGAAAAGGTGTTCAGGTAATACAATGCCCCTTCTCCAGCACAGGAGATGGAGAATCCACCAATGGGACATACCAAAGCCTCACTGTCCCAATGGGCGGGAAACAGACGAGGCCGGAACAGCATCCCCAGAAACCACCTGCTGAAGGACCCTCCGACCAAAGGAGGTGCCCACCGAAGCAAAGCGGTCAATCTTATAATGACACACAAATGGAGAGGGCGAAGACCATGTCGCAGCCCTGCAAATCTCCTCGATGGATGCCTGAGTGGCCCATGCTGCAGAGGTCGCAGTGCTGCGAGTGGAGTGTGCCATGATATGACTTGGAGCTGGCAGTGAAGACGACTGGTATGCCTCCATGATACAGGCCTTGATCCACCTACCTATGGTGGAAACAGACACCTTCTGCCCCAGAGAGGCCGGGAAGAAGGAAACAAAGAGGGCTTCCGACTTGTGAAAAGACGCCGTGCGCTTGATGTATCATCACAGCGCCGTGCAGACATCCAGCATGTGCCACTGCTGCTCCAAGTCATGGGAAGGATTGGGACAGAAATCTGGCAAAATGATTTCCTGGGCTTTATGGAAGAGCAAATTGACCTTGGGCACGAATGTGGGATCCAGCCGAAGGACGACCCGGTCCCAGTGGAAAATACAAAGATCATCCCTGATCGATAGAGCCGCCAGCTCAGAAATGCGCCTGGCTGACGTGATAGCGATCAGGAAGGTGAGCTTGTGGGATAAGGACCTCAGTGTTATAGTAGTGATTGGCTCAAAAGGCGGTTTAGTAAGTGCAAGTAGTACCCAGGGCAACTCCCAAGAGGGATACTTGTGTACCACGGGTGGCCTGGTGTTGCTGGCACCCTTGAGGAAGGCGCGTATTCTGGGATGGTGAGCCAGAGGGACCGAATTGGCGCAGGTAAGTAATGTTCATAGGGCCGCCAGCTGTCTACGGATGGTCGCAGGGGCTAGGCCTCTATCTAGGCTATCAAGAAGGTAGTCTATGATCTGAGGGATTGTCAATTTCAAGCTGTCCAGTTGCCGCCTTCCACACCAATGGCAAAAATTCCTCCATGTGGAGTCATAGATGCGATTGGTCGCTGGCTTGCGAGAGGCCTGAATCATGGAAATCGCTCTGGCTGAGAACAACTCCTGGGTCATGATTCTGCGCTCAAGTGCCAGGCGGCTAACTGTAGCCACTGAGGTTCCGGGTGCCGGAGAACCCCCTGGTGAAGGGACATGTGATCCAGGGGGATCTTCCATGGGGGAGAACAGGAGAGATTCACCAGGTCGGCGAACCAGGGTCTCTGAGGCCAGTATGGAGCCATGAAGATCACCTCCGCACGCTCCTCTAGCAACTTGTGAATGGTCGCCGGAATCAGTGGGAGAGGAGGGAAGGCATAGAGTAGACCCTCCAGCCATGGGATTCACAGGGCATCCATCCCCTCTGCCCCTGGGGAGCGAAAGCAGGAGAAGTATCTCAGGAGCTGGGCATTCCTCGGCGAAGCAAACAAATCGAGGACCAGTTGACCGAACCTTTGTGACATCTCGGCAAAGAGATCCGGATGCAGACCCCATTTCGAGTGATCTATGGTGGATCGGCTCAGGAAGTCCGCTTGCCAGTTCTTCTCCCCTGAGATGTGTTCGGCCCTGAGAGAGGACAGATTGGGCTCTGCCCAGGAGCCCAGTAACTGGGCCTCGAACATGAGGGACTTGGACCAGGTACCCCCTTGCTGGTTCACATGGGCCTTTGCCGCCACTTTGTCTGTAAGGACTAATATGTGTTGTCTCGTAATCTGGTTGTGGAAGTGGCGAAGAGCTATGTGAATGGCTCTGAGCTCCAGTCAGTTGATATTGTGTCTCAAATCTGCGCGGGACCAACGGCCCTGTGCAAACTGAGACCAGAGGTGGGCTCCCCAACCGAACAGACTGGCGTCCGTCATAATTGTGAGATAGTCGGGCTCCTTGAACAGTGACCCCCTGGTTACCGCTTGTGAGAACCACCAGTGGAGGGACCTCAGAGTTTGGACCAGAAGCCTTACATGTCGGCTGGATGAGCTGACGCTCAACCGCTGGAATGGGAGTAGGAACCATTAGAGGCTCCATAAATGGAGTCTGGCCCAAGGAACTATGGCTATGCAAGAGACCATCTTCCCTAGGATTTGGGAAAGCAGGGCCAGTGGGATGGTGCGGTCTTTGTACACTCGGCGAGCCAGGTTCCTGATGCTGTCTAGATGCTCCTGGGAGAGATATACCATGCAATCTACAGTGTCTATGATGGCCCCCAGGTGTAGGAGTTGGGTCGAGGGAACAGTCTGGCTATTTTGGAAGTTCACTGAGAACCCATGCTGTTGGAGGACCTGGATCGT